CTTAGTCATTCATTCTCGTTCTCATTTTCTCAGCACGGTGCTGGGCGGCTCGGCTGTCGGGCGGCTCGGCTGCTGGGCGGCTCGGGAGGTCGGGCGGCTCAGGTGGCCGGCGGTTCGGCTGCTCGGCGTTGCAGGCGCTGGGAGGCGGGGTCGCAGGTGGTGGCGAGGTCGCAGGTGGTGGCGGGCCGCAAGGGTGGGCGGGGCCGCGGTGGCGACGGGGCCGAAGTGGGGCCTAAGTGGGGCCGTAGAGGGGCCGACGGGGCCGAAGTGGGGCCGTAGCGGGGCCGTAGCGGGGCCTAAGCGGGGCCGAAGCGGGGCCGTAGCGGGGCCTAAGTAGGGCCGTAGCGGGGCCGTAGCGGGGCCGTAGCGGGGCCGACAGGGCCGACGGGGCCGTAGCGGGGCCGTAGCAGGGCCTAAGCGGGGCCGACGGGGCCGACGGGGCCGTAGCGGGGCCGTAGCGGGGCCGACGGGGCCGACGGGGCCGTAGCGGGGCCTAAGCGGGGCCGACGGGGCCGACGGGGCCGTAGCGGGGCCGTAGCGGGGCCGTAGCGGGGCCGTAGCGGGGCCTAAGCGGGGCCGACGGGGCCGTAGCGGGGCCGTAGCGGGGCCTAATTGGGGCCGTAGCGGGGCCGACGGGGCCTAAGCGGGGCCGTAGCGGGGCCGACGGGGCCAACGGGGCCGTAGCGGGGCCGTAGCGGGGCCGTAGCGGGGCCTAAGTGGGGCCGACGGGGCCGTATCGGGGCCTAAGCGGGGCCGACGGGGCCGTAGCGGGGCCTAAACGGGGCCGACGGGGCCGTAGCGGGGCCGTAGCGGGGCCGTAGCATGGCCGTAGCGGGGCCGACGGGGCCTAAGCGGGGCCGTAGCGGCCTAAGCGAGGCCGTAGAGGGCGGCTCAAGGGGCAGTAAGGGCGGCCAATAGGAGCCACAAAGGCGGCTCGAGGCGCTACTCGGGTTAGGAGCTAAGCGCGCTCCGGGCAGGGAAGGAAAAAATAAAGTTTGTGGTGGGCCCTAGGCAGTATTCCCACTCGGGAACCTGCTCGATACTATGACGAGAAGTGAGAATAGAATGAATGAACTATGAAACAGTTGGGTACAAGTACCAACCCTAATTGGGTTGTACCCCTTATGGGCTACCCCACTACAGCCTACACAAATGTATAAGCTATAATGTTCTGACACATAGCCGCTCAGCGCAACTACGAGCTTCACTCTCTTGACTTCAGCACAGCTTTTCTGCAGGGCAGCCTGCACGAGGAGATCTGGCTGCACCGCCCACCTGGCTTCACTGGGTCGTTTCCTCCTGGTACCCAGTGGAGCCTCCGGCGGCCAGTCTACGGTCTCCGCCAGGCGCCCCGTGAGTGGCACGACACACTGAGGACTACACTTGCGGCTCTTGGCTTTGCTCCTTCTACTGCCGACCCGTCGCGATTTCTACGCACCGTCACCTCTTTGCTGCCGTTCTACATCCTCGTGTATGTCGACGACTTGGTCTTTGCCACAACTGACACTGCTGGACTAGCCCACGTGAAGTCCGAGCTGCAGAAGAGACACACGTGCACAGACCTGGGTGAACTGCGCAGCTACCTTGGCTTGCAGATCACCCGGGACAGAGCACAGCGCACCATTACCCTGACTCAGTCACACATGGTGCAGCAGGTCCTTCAGCGCTTCGAATTCACGTACTCCTCGCCTCAGGCCACTCCTCTGTCGACTCGCCACTCGCTCTCAGCTCTGCCTTCGGATGAGTCTGTAGAGCCGAGTGGCCCGTACCCAGAGCTTGTTGGCTGCCTCATGTACCTGATGACCTGCACTCGACCTGACCTTGCATAACCTCTCAGCATCTTGGCACGCTATGTTGCTCCTGGGAGACACCGACCAGAGCACATGGCTGCAGCGAAGAGGGTGTTGCGCTACTTGTGCAGTACGTCGGGCATGGGGCTCATGCTTGGAGTGCGGCGTTCAGTGGTCCTCACAGGTCACGCAAACGCTTCTTGGGCTGACGACCAGGCTACGCAGCGGTCGTCACAGGGTTACACCTTCAGCCTTGGTTCCGGCTCTGTTTCGTGGCGGTCTACCCGCTCGTCTTCTGTTCTCGGCTCCAGCTGTGAGGCTGAGATCTACGCAGGGGCCATGGCTGCACAGGAGCTACGCTGGCTCACCTACCTGCTGACTGACCTAGGAGAGCCGCCTCGTTCTTCTCCAGTTCTGTACGTAGACAACAAGTTCATGCTGGCCTTGTGTCGGGAGCACAGACTGGAGCATAGAACGAAGCACATTGCTCTTCGCTACTTCCTTGCTCGTGAGCTGCAGCAGCGTGGTTAGCTGCGCCTTGCTTGCGTGGCCTCTCAGGCCAACACTGCTGATATCTTTACCAAGGCACTTCCGCCTTGTGATCATCAGCGCTTTTGTACGATGCTAGATCTTGTGCCTACTTGGCCTCACTTGCTCACTACTTGACCTTGCTTGTACTGTGATCTGTCTATACCTGCACTTGCTTGTTTACCTCTATATATAATCTTGCATAAGAACTGGCCTTGTGGCCTTGAACTTGTGCTCGGAATGTGTGGTGACGTTGTGATCCACCCTGAGCTTGCTTTGCTTTGCTTTGCTTGGCTGGTCTTGTGACCCCTTGTTCTCCCCCACTTTGCCTATGGGGGTGTGTCAGACTTATATGATCTAGCCTGTGTAGGCTGTAGCGGGTTAGATACTAAGGGGTACACAATTCTAGGGTTTCACATTTGTATCACACTCATTCCTTAGTTATTCATTCCTCGTTATTCTCACACGATCAGTTTGTCGGCTCGCGGGATGGGGTAGCGGGATTTGATGGTAACCCTGTTCAATGCGCGGTAGTCAGTGCACATGCAAAAACCCCCGTCCTTTTTCTGTGTGAACAATATTGGTGCTGCGAAGGGTGATGAACTCGGACGAATAAACTCCTTCATGAACAGGTAATGTAGCTGCTTCCTCAGTTCGTCGAGTTCGGGTTGGGTCAGTCAGAACTGTCGCTGTACTGTTGGCTGTGCCCCCGGCTCTAACTCTATCTTATGGTCGTGCGATCGCTGAGGTGGCAGTCCCGTCGGCAGGTCATCCGGAAATATCCCACTGTACTGCTTCAGGAGTGTTGTTAAATCGTCCAGTACGCCGGGTAGCAGTTTTTGCAAATCCCCCCCTTTGTCTGCTGCCTCGGCTTCCCGAATGACAACCGTGTACACGTCAGCTCCTGCTGCTACGGCGCGTTTCATTGTGATCGCGTTGACACGCACCGACGAAGGCTCATGCGAGCCCCAGCGAGGTAAGGCGAAATTGTTACCATTCACTCGCACGGTGCGGTCACCCGTTGTCCAGTCTATTCGCGGTTTGTGTTGTCGCAACCAATCACGATCGAGTAAAATGTCAATTCCGTCGAGGGTTGTCGCGAGCATTTCCTGACTAAACGTGAAGTTACCCCCGCATCGAATCCGAACCCGGTCTACGTGTTCCCGTATCGCTAGTGGCGTGCCGTCGACCAGTCTTGCGTCGATCTCAGGTAAACATATGTCGAGTGGCAGTCTCAGTTTCTGTCCTATGGCAGTGTTGATCAGGCTATGGCTGGCTCCCCCATCTACGAATATTTTAATTATGTCCATCCCGATTTTCCCACAGAGCAGTATGAGGCTGACTACCGTAGTACCCTCCTTATTCGGCCGGGTGTGGTCGATTGCGTGAACATGCACAATCACTCGGCGAGGGTTGGTTGGGTCGGACGAGCGGTGCATGGTTTGGTGAAATAGTGCGCACAAAGTCGGCGAACAACAGGTGCTTCTGTCAGAACATTATAGCTTATGCTTTTGTGTAGGCTATAGTGGGGTATCCCATAGGGGGTACAACCAAATTAGGGTTAGTACTTGTACCCACTTCACTCATAGTTCATTCATCCTCGTTCTCATTCTCACATGGAATTAGAGCAGGTCCCCTCCTAGGGACTGTTTCTTGGGCCCACCGAAGCGCGCCCCGAGGCGCGCGTTTTTTTTTTTTTTTTTTAGCGACCCGTCGTGTCGCCCCCCCCCCCCCCTCCCAGCGGCCCGTCGCGCCGCCTTTCGGTCGCGGCCCCGCCGCCCTACTCTCGCGGGCCCGCCGCCCTACGTCGCGGCCCCGCCGCCCTACCCTTCGACGGCGCCGCCGCCCTAAGTCGCGGCCCCGCCGCCCTACTTCGACGGCCCCGCCGCCCTACGTCGCGGCCCTGCCGCCCTACCCTACGTCGCGGCCCCGCCGCCCTACCCTTCGACGGCGCCGCCGCCCTACGTCGCGGCCCCGCCGCCCTACTTCGACGGCCCCGCCGCCCTACGTCGCGGCCCTGCCGCCCTACCCTACGTCGCGGCCCCGCCGCCCTACCCTTCGACGGCGTCGCCGCCCTACGTCGCGGCCCGGCCGCCCTACTTCGACGGCCCCGCCGCCCTACGTTGCGGCCCCGCCGCCCTACGTCGAGGCCCCGCCGCCCTACCCTACTTCGCAGCCCTGCCGCCCTACGTTGCGTCCCCGCCGCCCTACCCTACATCGACGGCCCCGCCGCCCTACTTTGCGGCCCCCGCCGCCCTACTCGACGGCCCCACCGTACTACGTCACGGCCCCGCCGCCCTACTCAGCGGCCCACCAGACGCCCTACCTGCGGCACGCCCGCCGCCCTACCTGCGGCCCACCCGCCGCCCGACCGCCGGGTCGCCCAGCCGCTGAGCCGCCGAGCCGCCCAGCAGCCGACCGCCGAGCCGCCGAGCCGCCCAGCAGCCGAGCCGTCCAACACCCGAGCTGCCGAGCCGCCGAGCCGCCCAGCAGCCGAGCAGCCGAGCCGCCGAGCCGCCCAGCAGCCGAGCCGCCGAGCAGCCGAGCCGCCCCGCAGCCGAGCCGCCGGCCGCTGAGCTGCCCTACTTCCATACCGCCCGTTCTGCCCAGTCTGGTGAGCACAGAGCCTTTTTCACTGCGCTGCCCTCACCCTACTGCTTGCACTGCTAGGCGTCTATCGTCATGGCTACCCCCAGTGTCCTCGCTTTTGACGCTGAGGGTCGGGCCATTGACTTTGAGGTCTGGGTAGATGACCTCCAGCTGTCCTTACACTGCGATAGGGCAGACGGCCTCTCTCTCTTTGACCTTACCTCTGGCGCTTCCCTTGCCCCTGCTGCTGATGCTGACCCTACTGTTCGCTCCCAGTGGGCTACGCGCGATGCTGCTGCACGTCTTGCTGTGCGTCGCCACCTCCCTATCTCTGAGCATGCGCACTTTAGTCAGTACAAGAGTGCACAGACCTTGTACGACGCTGTAGTTGCGCGCTACTCCTCCCCTGCCACTGCTGCACTGAGCCGCCTCATGCTACCCTTCCTCTTCCCTGGCCTTGCCGCCTTTCCCACAGTCGCTGATCTCATTACGCATCTCCGCACTAGTGACACCCGCTACCGCGCTGCGCTTCCTGCTGACTTCTGCGCCAAGAACCCCCCCCCCATGTACATCACTCTCTACTTTCTAGTCACCCGCCTCCCCGACTCCCTTCGTGTAGTCCGGGACCACTTCCTCGCGGTCTGTCCCACCACTCTCACAGTCGACAGCCTAGAGAAGGCCCTCCTAGCGGCGGAGAAGAGCATCGTCGCTGTAGGAGCCTCTCGAGGTGACCCCCGCGCCCCCATCTTTGAGGGGTGTTCTCCTTCCCCTCTCTTGCCCTCTGTCGCCTCTGCCGCTGCGGCCGACCTCATTGGTCTTGAGTCGGTCGGTGCGCCGTCTGCCCCTAGCGGAGACGCCGCCCTGGCAAGGGCAAGGGGGGCAAAGGAGCGGGTGGGGCCAGCGGTGGCGATGGAGGTGGAGGTGGAGGCGGCGGAGGGAGTGGGGGTGGCGGTGGAGGTGGTGGCGGGGGTGGGGGTGCTAGTGGCGGCAGTGGAGGCGGGGGTGGCGGCGGCGGTGGCGGTGGGAGCGGAGGTGGTGGAGGCGGCGGCGGTGGAGGCGGAGGCCGGGGTGGAGGCGGAGGCGGGGGTGGCGGTGGCGGAGGTGGTCGGAGTGGCGCACACTCACGCCGCTTGGTCGGCCGGTTGCAGTCTCCCTGGCTGACCCCTCTGGGGGTCCTGTCCTCGCTCACTTCTCCACTGTCCTCCCGTGTCCGGCTGCCCCCTCGGGCACCCTGTCGGGTCTGTACCTCCCCTCGTTCTCGACGAACTTGGTGAGTGGTGCTGACCTGCAGGATGCGGGGGTTCACCAGTTTACTCCTGCGAGTCAGCGGGGGACCCACTGCTCGGACGCCCGCAAAGGCCGACACCTAGCCACGTTTTCGCGTCGGCCCGGGTCGAGTCTCTACACCCTAACCATTGAGTCTCCTTCAGTCCTTGCGTCTGGCCAGGTAGCTGCGTCGGGTCAGGTGTTTGCTGCTGCGTCCAGGTCTGGTCCTGAGTCTGCCCCCTGCTCGTGTCGCCTCCTCTCTCACGAGACTCTCTTGTGGCACCACCGTCTTGGCCACCCCTCCTTGCCTCGTCTTCGCGGCATGGCTTCCCGTGTCCTTGTCTCTGGTCTCCCCCGGTCTCTCCCTCCCCTTCCTTCGGGGCCAGGACCTTCCTGTGTCCCTTGTGTCGAGGGGCGGCTCCGGGCTGCCCCTCACTCCTCCCAGTTTCCCCCGACAGAGGCTCCTCTGCAGACGCTTCACATGGACGTGTGGGGCCCGGCCCGCGTCCGTGGACAGGGTCACGAGCGCTACTTCCTGCTGGTGGTTGACGACTACTCGCGTTACACCACAGTCTTCCCCTTGCGCAGCAAGGGTGATGTCACTGAGGTGTTGATCGACTGGATCCGCGCGGCTCGTCTCCAGCTCAGGAGGAGCTTCGGCTCGGACTTTCCTGTTCTGCGTCTGCACTCTGACCGAGGCGGAGAGTTCTCCTCTGGCCTTCTACGAGCCTAATGTCGTGCACGAGGCATCCGCCAGACCTTCACGCTTCCGGACTCTCCACAGCAAAATGGAATTGCTAAGCGCCGCATTGGCATGGTCATGGACGTCGCTCGTACGTCCATGATGCATGCGGCTGCCCCCCATTTTCTGTGGCCGTTTGCGGTTCGGTACGCGGCGCATCAGCTCAACCTTCACCCCAGGGTCTCCCGGCCGGAGACCTCCTCAGCTCTGCTGTGGACGGGGAAGGTCGGCGATGCGTCTGCGTTCCGTGTCTGGGGATCTCGGGCGTTTTTCCGTGACCTGTCTGCGGACAAGCTGTCCCTTCGTGCTGCTCCCTGTGTCTTCCTAGGCTTCCCCCCTGACGCCCCAGGGTGGCAGTTCTACCACCCCTCCTCTCGTCGTGTTCTGTCCTCCCAGGACGTCACGTTCGACGAGTCAGTCCCCTTCTACCGCCTCTTCCCCTATCGCACTCCTTCCCTCCCGCCACCACCGCACTTCCTTGTGCCAGGTCCCCCCCCGGTAGACCCCCTTCCTCCTCAGGGTTTTGCCCCTTCAGGTGTGTCCCAGGTCGATGCAGTCGAGCCGGTCGAGGTTGCTGGTGACTCAGGTACTGCTGGGGGTGCTGAGCTTGGGGGTGCTGACTCTGGGTGTGCTGAGTCTGGGGGTGTTGAGCCTGGGGGTGCTGAGCCTGGGGGTGCTGAGCCTGGGGGTGCTGCCTCTGGGGGTGCTGAGCCTGGGGGTGCTGACTCTGAAAGTGCTGCGCGCGTGGGTGCTGAGCCTGGGGGTGCTGAGCCTGGGGGTGCTGCGTCTGGAGCTGCTGAGCCTGGAGGTGTGGAGCTTGCGGCCACTGGACCTCCCCTTGTGGCGTCTGGCGGTACTGGGCCAGGAGGTTCTCCGGGTGTTTCGTCTCGGCGGGAGCCACTCTCTCCACAGGAGCTGCGTGAGTGGTTTGCTCGCCGCTGGAGGCGTACTGCTGGAGCTGGCGCTTCTTCGGCCGCTGAGGGTGCTGGTGCCGCCGATCCCGGAGCTGCTGGGCCTGCGGGTCCGCCTAGAGCTGGAGCTGCTGAGGGTGTTGGTTCTGAGACTACTACTGTACGTCCTGGTGGTGGTCGTGCTGCGGGTGCTGCTGGCGCTGTTGGAGGTCCTGCCGATGGAGGTGCTGTTGGCGCTGGTGCTGCCGGAGGTGCTGAGGGTGCTGGTGCTGTCCCTACTGTGTCTAGTGCCGCCGCTCGGCCTCGGTCGTACTTCGTTCCGCTCCTTCAGAAGGTTCTTGGTCTTCCTCCTCTCTTAGAGGGTCCACCGCCTGTCCCGTCGCAGTCACAGTTACCGCCGGCCTCCCCACTGCCTTCTCCCTCTCCCTACAGTGGTCCTACTGGAGGTCTTGCTGAGCGTCGTGAGCCTGCGTCTCGTCCTGCGTCGCCTGTTCATGCTGCTCGCACTAGTGGTCGCAGTTCGCGTCAGCGTCCTCCTCCTGTCCCTGGCACGCACCGGATGTCTCTGCGTCCCTCCACTGCTCCTCTGCGTGCCCCTTTGCCCTCTCCTCCTGAGTCCTCTCTTCTTGCGCTTGCCGACCCTGAGTCGGACACTCTTCGTGCTGCCAGTCCTACTGTCACGCGTCTCCTTGCTACTGTCGTCACTGACCCCTCCTTTGAGTCCACTGCTGCGTGTGCTCTTGCTGCTGAGCTCGTCGACTTTGCTGCTCGCTGTCGTCTAGACTACGCTGCTAGTCTTGTTGCTGAGTCTGCGTCTGTCTGTCCTCCGTCCGTCGGGGGTGAGTGTGCTCTTGGCACGGACGTCCTTGAGGACAGGCAGGAGGAGTTTCAGTGTCTGGCTGCTGCTTCACCTCATCTCGCGTCTGTACTGCTTGCCCCTGAGGGAGACCCGGATGCACTAGACATCCCGACTCCGCGCTCTTACGCGGAGGCCGTAGAGGGTCCCTACTCCTCTCAGTGGCAGGCAGCTATGGATGCAGAGATGGCTTCCTGGAAGTCCACAGGCACCTACGTTGACGCGGTTCCCCCTCCTGGGGCGAACATCGTCAGTGGGATGTGGATCTTCAGGGTGAAGCGGCCGCCGGGCTCTCCACCTGTCTTCAAGGCACGGTACGTGGCTCGTGGCTTCAGTCAGCGGCAGGGAGTTGACTACTTTCAGACCTTCTCTCCCACCCCGAAGATAACCACTCTTCGGGTGCTGCTGCACATAGCCGCTCAGCGCGACTACGAGCTCCACTCTCTTGACTTCAGCACTGCTTTCTTGCAGGGTAGCCTGTACGAGGAGATCTGGCTGCGCCGTCCACCTGGCTTCACTGGGAATTTCCCTCCTGGCACCCAGTGGAGCCTCCGACGGCCAGTCTACGGTCTCCGCCAGGCACCGCGTGAGTGGCACGACACACTGAGGACTACGCTTGCGGCTCTTGGGTTTGCTCCCTCCACTGCTGACCCGTCGTTGTTTCTACGCACCGACACTTCTTTGCCGCCGTTCTACATCCTCGTGTACGTCGACGACTTGGTCTTTGCCACAGCGGACACTGCTGGACTCGCCTACGTGAAGTCCGAGCTGCAGAAGAGACACACGTGCACAGACCTGGGTGAACTGCGCAGCTACCTTGGCTTGCAGATCACTCGGGACAGAGCACGCCGCACCATTACCTTGACTCAGTCACACATGGTGCAGCAGGTCCTTCAGCGCTTCGGCTTCACGTACTCCTCGCCTCAGGCCACTCCTCTGTCTACTCGCCACTCGCTCTCAGCTCTGCCTTCGGATGAGTCCGTAGAGTCGAGTGGCCCGTACCCAGAGCTTGTTGGCTGCCTCATGTACCTGATGACCTGCACACGACCTGACCTTGCATACCCTCTTAGCATCTTGGCACGCTATGTTGCTCCTGGGAGACATCGACCAGAGCACATGGCTGCAGCGAAGAGGGTGTTGCGCTACTTGTGCAGTACGTCGGGCATGGGGCTAGTGCTTGGAGGGCGGAGTCCAGTGGTCCTCACTGGGCACGCGGACGCTTCTTGGGCTGACGACCAGGCTACGCAGCGGTCGTCGCAGGGTTACACCTTCAGCCTTGGTTCCGGCTCTGTTTCGTGGCGGGCTACTCGCTCGTCTTCTGTTCTCGGCTCTAGTTGTGAGGCTGAGATCTACGCCGGGGCCATGGCTGCTCAGGAGCTTCGCTGGCTCACCTACCTGCTGACTGACCTTGGAGAGCCGCCTCGTTCTGTTCCAGTGCTGTATGTAGACAACAAGGCCATGCTGGCCTTGTGTCGAGAGCAGCGCCTGGAGCACAGAACGAAGCACATTGCTCTCCGCTACTTTCTTGCTCGTGAGCTGCAGCAGCGTGGTCAGTTGCGACTTGCGTACGTGGCCTCTGAGGCCAACACTGCTGATATTTTTACCAAGGCACTTCCGCCTTGTTATCATCAGCGTTTCTGCACTCAGGTGGGACTTGTCCCAGTCTTGCCTCACTTGCTCACCTCTTGACCTTACTTGTACTCTTGCATATATATATATACTTGCTCTTGCTTGTTTAGACTTATATATATATGTCTCCTCCTGCATGTGAACTGGCCTTGTGGCCTTGACCTTGTGCTGAGACTGTGTGGTGACATTGTGATCCACCCTGAGCTTGCTTTGCTTGACTGGTCTTGTGACCCCTTGTTCTCCCCCACTTTGCCTATGGGGGTGTGTCAGAACATTATAGCTTATGCTTTTTTGTAGGCTATAGTGGGGTATCCCATAGGGGGTACAACCCAATTAGGGTTAGTACTTGTACCCACTTCACTCATAGTTCATTCATCCTCGTTCTCATTCTCACAGCTTCTCTATGCGATGTTGCAGGATGCGCTAAGGAATGTCGAGAATATTCCTTACACCCTCTTTCTCGCTACACTGGCAATGGGATTCACTGGCTACAGTGCGTACTGTTGCTTGGAACGTAGCGGTCTGATGTTCATAACCGAACTGCAGGTAGGTGACGGGCAAATGCTCTCCTTGTGAACGGTACACAACGGTTTTCAAAAGGAAACTTGCTTAGGCGTACGGTTGAGTGCAGACAAACGTGCTTATATGGTACGTTCTGGGACCAGGGCTGTCGATTGGTCTGGGCCCAACCCGTGCGAAGCTGAGCTGCGTCGAAAACAGCCCTGAGCTATCCGGGAAGCGGACGTAAATTCAGGGCATTCATATTTCCGTTCTGAGAATGCATGCGTAATAAAACATAGTTATCCAAGCTAGACATACACTAAAGAGTAGAGTACGCTAAGGGAACGTGGGGGGCTGGTGTTGTTGGGGGAAGTGGGAGAGGGACAGTTCGCGGTCTAAGGTCAGGAAGAAAGGAGGGGGGGGGGGGGGGGGGGGGGGGGGGGGGGGAAGGGGGGTGGCTCTTACGGGAATTCGCGGAGCCCCAAAACTTGTCCGTTAGAAATCCGGCTGGGGGAAAAACCAACCCTGAAATTTTTCGAGCTAAGCTGTAACTAACCTTGAATTCTCATGGAAAACGGACAAATGTCCGTGAATCGACAGGCCTGTCTGGGACCATCCTGGACGCATTGATGTCTGGGAAAAGATCAACCAGAGGCCGAACAGTGCCGGAGGGATGATCAAAGTAGGGCCGGTAAATCTCGACCGTAGGATTTCAACCCTGAGCTGCCCAAACGACTAGGCGAACAAGCCGAACCGTGAGTAAAAGAGATTTGCTGGACGAACCGAATTGTGTACTCATTTTTTTTTTTTTAGGGTTTTGACCCCCGTCTACTACAGCGCGCGCGTAGCGTTCTTATGGAAGTAAAATCAGGCGTGTCAAATCGTGAGTATGCATAGCATATTGTATTCTGGGTGAGATCGTAAATGCACAGGAAAATAATAGATCGTAAATAGATCATATTGCAAATCCATAATCGATCGTAAATGCACAGGAAAATAATAGATTACCCATTCGGAAACGGGTGCGACTCGGGAGGCATCAACCCCGAATACCAGGAAGGTTTCCGTTTTTAGGGTTGATTCGTCCAGAAAATGCATCCAGAGTCTCTATGAGTTTTAGTTTTTTTGGCTGCCCTAAGAGTTCCCAGCAGAGTCGGTTCGCTAAACGACACGCGAGCGAAAATGCGAGCCTGTATATGGCCCTAATAACATAATTACGTGCAATAAACGAAGACCCTCTATTAATTGCTCCTTGCGCAGCGGTTTGGTAAGTTCAGGGCCTCTTGGTCCCTGGGTGATCATCCCTCTGGCACTGTTCGGCCCCTCGTTGATCTTTTCCCTTGATGTCTGCACATCCGATCAACCAGTATAGCCAATGACAGTGTGGCGCGAAACAAGGTGTATCAAGAATAGAGATCACGCATGTGGCCAGTAGTGAGGAGCTTCCACTGGGAATCCATTCAAACATGTACTGTAGAATGCCATTTTCTGGCCGCACGTGGGATCTGCGTACACATGGGAGATCGAATACCTCATTTTCGACTGTGGTGCAGCTCCGCAGGTCGTTGAGGCAATCCAACGAACGGCAATCCCTGCGACTGTTGAGGTTTGACGAGCAGGGTCGACCTTCGCTCCATCCCTCGCTGGGTTCACTCATGGTTCCTGGTCAACGTCTATTGGCCTCCGTAAAAGTCTCCCCGTTTTCAATATTGGGCGCGGTGCTACCATACGTGTGGGTTACGTGCTGTTCGGTCACAAATAGGCAATTACAGATGTTCCGGGTTAGAGGCTCTCGCTGAGAGAGTCTCTTTTCCTCCCTGAGTAGAATTTTCCGATATCGCCTATGGTTGGCCCGACCCCTATAGTCCCGTTTTTGGCGGGAAATCTGGCAGCTTGACCGAATCATTGCACGAATCAGCTCCGCAGCCAATCAGAGGCTCCGTATCGAACCAGCCCCAACATTCAAGGAGAACGATGAAGAAGGGATAATCGATTCGATATTATAACTTTTAAATTGTAAAGTAATTGTTTCTCTTGACCGCGACTACTTCTCAATCCGGTCGCGCTGTCTCCAGCGCGATCGACGATGACATCTCGTTTACCTCGCTTACTGGGTAGAAAAGAAGGTTTCGGGTTACTATTTGACCCCCAAATCATAGTTTATGTTCTTTTGTTTTGACCGTTAGTCATTCGACATTGATCAGCGCGGAAAACCGTGCGACTGGAAGTTAATGCAAGCGCGGTCCAAATCTACGTAAATGCCACACTCCAGAAACTAGTAGCGAAACAACCACTCTTCATTCAGTTTTCCTGAACGGGACTAAAAGTATCGCGCTTTGCCTGGGGTTCGAAGGTTTTGCCACATAGTCCGCGCGCGGCGATGTTGATCCGTTGGACCATAAACGAAAACACTTGTACTAATGCTGTTAAGCATAGGCCTTTTCGGCTTTGGCGCCTAAGCCATAAATTGTGTAGGCACTGTACCATGGTTACGACCATAATAAAAACCTTAAAACCATTCAAACCACGCTGCCTTGGGAATGTCAATGTCCGAGAGTTGTCTCCTGTGGTCGTACCCTGTTCAGCCACACGGCACACCTCACTTCATTTCAGTTTTCCTGGGTTCCTTACCATGTCAGAAGAATATGGATCTTTACCTGCAGCACTTACCCTCATGGTAGCCAGGTGATTTGGCTAAAAGATGCTGACAGCTAGTAGCTCGCTCATGCGTAAACCTTGTAGCATTATGGATGACGATAAAATGGCGACACGCCAGAGCACGAAATTCCGGTCAATTCTCTTGCGACACTCGGTCATTCTCAGGTCCAGAAGCAGCAGCATTTTTACATCATTAGACCCTTAGAAAGCTGACCTTCGTCATGCCTCAGAACCCTCAGAACATCGCAGTGCAACGCCTGCCAGACATGCTCGGGCCTTCGTTTCTTCAAGCAGTGGTAAATCAACGAGCCGTTGATTCAACGCTGAGCTCTTGCGATCAGTCCTTGCAGGAATCGCGGGAAGGAATTAAGGCACAGAATGGCGGCTCGGCGCTTCCATCTCCGCGTCGCGCAGCACCGCTTGCTAAGAGTCCACGCGGGTCCGCGTCGCTCAACGATCTCAGCTCCCCCCGATTGCGGATTCCTAAGTCGCCACATCGTCGGACGGTCTCTCAGCAACTCACCTTTCCGGTCGACGTTCTTAAATCACCACGTCGGACGGTTTCGCAGCAACCTACCTTTCCGAATGACCTTCCTAAACCACCACACGCAGCCCTTCCGCGCACGGCGTACGGCGGCGCGCGCAAAACCACCCCGCGCAGCCAATCCGCGCGAGCTTGGCAAGCGAGCGGGGATAAGATTGATTTGAAGGGAGGCTTCTTGAGTGAGGGAACAACGGCGGGGAAGAGTGACGGGAGAGCGAAGGGGGAACAGAAGGAGTGGGGGGAATGGCTTCCGGTGAAGCAGCAGCAGCAACAGCAGCAGCGGTGGCGGCCGTGGCAGAAGGAACTGGTTCCAGAAAGCTTCGCGGATCAAAGAATTGATCCTAGCCGTAGTCTTGGCGAAAAGAACGATCCCCTGCGCGCCGATGGAGATTCGAAGTGTGCCAACCAATGGCATTCCGCCATCGAGCAACGTCCACCTGGCGATCTTTTGTCCGAATGGAGGAGGGAAGGAAGGATGGAAGGGAGTAGGGGGAGAAGGGAAGGGAGTAGGGAGGGCAGTAGGGAAGAGAGGAGGGAGGGGAGTAGGGAAGAGAGGAGGGAGGGAAGGAGGGAAAGGAGTAGGGAAGGGAGTAGGGAAGGGAGGAGGGAAGGGAAGAGGGACGGGACGAGGGAAGGGAAGAATGATGAGGTGAGAGAACCGAAGAGTCCGTTGAGGGCGAAGGTGGGAAAGAAGAGCAAGGAGAAATGGGTCAAGGAGGACAGGAAGGACAGGCAGGGCAGGGACGCCTGGCAGACGAAGGGAGAGGAGAGAGGTGGAGGGAGTGGGGGAGCGAAGGATGGATGGGCGGTAGTCGGGAGGAAAGAAAGGAAGGAGGACGGAGGAGAGGAGGGGAAGGAAGAAGCGGCGGAAGGGAGGAGGAACGCAGGGGCAGAGGAAACGAAGGATGATGGAGTTCACAGAAGGCTTTCGTTAACCGCTGCTTGGTCGAATGGCTCCACACCTGAGTCGACTCACAAGTCAACAACGGAAACTCAAGATTCAAAAAAGGATACCCTTGAGTCAACAACACAAACTCAATATTCAAACGAGGAAACCCATCCATCAACAGAGGAAGCTGGGGATGACTCAGTTCACAGACGGCTCTCATCAGCCACTGCTTGGTTAAGGTCCCCTCCTGAGTCGACTCACAAGTCAACAACGGAAACTCAAGATTCAAAAGAGGAAACGCATGATTTAAGAGAGGAAGCTGGGGATGATTCAATCCACAAAAGGCTTTCGTTCACCACTGCTTGGCTGGGCTCGCCTGGGGAAACTGCAGCATTGGCAGGTGGTGCAAGTGGTGTGGCAGCGGCAGCAGGTAGGGTGGCAGCAGGTGGAGTGGCAGCAACAGCAGGTGGGGTGGCAGGAACAGCAGGTGGTGTGGCAGCAACAGCAGGTGGAGTGGCAGCAACAGCAGGTGGGGTGGCAGCAACAGCAGGTGGAGCAGCAGCGGTTGCCGAGGAGGAGTGTCAAGACTCCTTGATCTCGTGGCTGACTCCTCAAATCACGCCCACCAAGCTACAGCAGCAGCAGCAGCAGCAGCAGCAGCAGCAGCAGCAGCAGCAGCAGCAGCAGCAGCAGCAGCAGCAGCAGCAGCAGCAGCAGCAGCAGCAGCAGCAGCAGCAGCAGCAGCAGCAGCAGCAGCAGCAGCAGCAGCAGCAGCAGCAGCAGCAGCAGCAGCAGCAGCAGCAGCAGCAGCAGCAGCAGCAGCAGCAGCAGCAGCAGCAGCAGCAGCAGCAGCAGCAGCAGCAGCAGCAGCAGCTGCTGCTACACCAGCAACAGCAACAGCACACCGCTCATTCTGCCGTTCCTGCCACAGAAAGGGGATGCTTCAACTTCAGTGCGAACGCCACTATGGGTGCTTCTACCGCCCTCGCCTTACACCCTTCAATGCAGGCCTCTCCCCACCCTCCCCACCCTCCCTTCAGCTTCTTCCGCCCTGACCTGATCAGTCCTAGGAGCAACAAAAAACCCTCCATGGATCTCCCGATTCCCCTCGTTCACTACCCTACCGACGCCTCCTCTTCCTCCTCCTCTTCCTCCTCCTCTTCCTTCTCCTCTTCCTCCTCCTCTTCCTCCTCCTCGTCCTCCTCCTCTTCCTCTTCCTCTTCCTCCTCTTCCTCCTCTTCCTCCTCCTCTTCCTCCTCCTCTTCCTTCTCCTCTTCCTCCTCTTCCTCCTCATCTTCCTCCTCCTCTTCCTTCTCCTCTTCCTCCTCTTCCTCCTCCTCTTCGTCCTCCTCTTCCTCCTCCTCTTCCTCCTCCTCTTCCTCCTCCGCTTCCTCCTCCTCTTCCTCCTCCTCTTCCTCCTCTTCCTCCTCTTCCTCCTCCTCTTCCTCCTCCTCTTCCTCCTCCTCTTCCTTCTCCTCTTCCTCCTCCTCTTCCTCCTCCTCTTCCTCCTCCTCTTCCTACTCCCTCTCCTCTCCTTCTGCATCCCTCCCAACCCCCTCCCCTTCCTCCACCTCTTGTCACCGTCCTTGCCCATTCCGGCCATCTCTCTCCATCGTACCTCCCTCCCTCTTCACCGAACCCAACTCCTCTCCATCTTCCTCCTCCACCACTTCAAATGATGCTGCAGCTCTCGCCAGTCCAGCCCCCGCTCCTGCCTCTGCATCACCACCATCTTGCATAGGGGTGAATGACCCTCACACGCAAACCGCTCCCCTACCTGGCGCGCCCTCACCTGGCGCGCCCTCACCTGGCGCGCCCTCACCTGGCGCGCCCCTTTCTCCCCCACCTGGCGCGCCCCTTTCTCCCCCACCTGGCGCGCCCCTTTCTCCCCCACCTGGCGCGCCCCTTTCTCCCCCACCTGGCGCTCCCTTTTCTCCCCCTCTTGGCGCTCCCTTTTCCACCTCCTCTGCTCCCACCGTTTCTCCCCCCCCTGGCGCCCTCCATTCGCCCCGTCCTCCCCCCTCTCCAACCCATGGGGCTAGATTCCATGTTGCTCGAGCCTCGCCACGTGGCAGAAGAAGATTGGCCTTTGATGTACCGGCTTGTGAAAGCCCAGAGAGTGATGGCACACCTAGGCCGCCCATGGCAGGTACACCTAAGGGAGGTGCACCCAAGGCAGGTACACCTGAGGCAGGTACACCCAAGGGAGGGGCACCCAAGGCTGGTACACCTAAGGCATGTATACCTAAGGCAGGTAGACCCAGGGTAGGTACACCCGAGGGAGGTAAAGCTGAAGAAGGCATACCCAGGGTAGGCACACCTAGGGCATGTCCGCCTCTTTCAGGCTCCTCCACTCCTAAAAGCAGTCCTGCTGCTGCTGCTCCTCCTGCTGCTGCTCCTGCTGCTGCTGCCGCTGCTGCTGCTGCTCCTGCTGCTGCTGCTGCTGCTGCTGCTGCTGGTCGTGGTGCTGCTGCTGCTGCTCCTGCTGTTGCTGCTGCTGGTGGTGGTCCTGGTGCTGCTGCTGCTTCGGTTGCTTCCAAGAGTGGAGCTTCAATTCCTAGGGCACGGAGCCAAGGAGCTATATCCTTTAAAGCCAGTGACTCGTTTAGAGTAAGAGATGGTACAGGACAGCAGCAGAAGGCTGATCATGTTACATTGGGGGAGAGCACCAGCATTAGCCCCACTGTGCTGCTTGCTCATGAGTGTAGGATTCGTGGTGGTGCTGCTGTTGGTGCTCGTGCTGGTGCTTCTGCTGTTGGCGCTCGTGCTGGTGCTTCTGCTGTTGGTGCTCGTGCTGGTGCTTCTGCTGTTGGCGCTCGTGCTGGTGCTTCTGCTGTTGGTGCTCGTGCTGGTGCTTCTGCTGTTGGTGCTCGTGCTGGTGCTTCTGCTGTTGGTGCTCGTGCTGGTGCTTCTGCTGTTGGTGCTCGTGCTGGTGCTTCTGCTGTTGGTGCTCGTGCTGGTGGTGCTGCGGCCACAACTCCGAGGGGTCATAGGCGAGCCAAATCAGCAGTGGCTTTTGGGATGGTTGACTGTATGGAAGCGTCGAGTAGGGTGGCTGCTGGTGCTTCTGCTGTTACTGGTGCTGCTGGTGCTTCTGCTGTTACTGGTGCTGTTACTGGTGCTGCTGGTGCTTCTGCTGTTACTGGTGCTGTTACTGGTGCTGTTACTTGTGCTGCTGGTGCTTCTGCTGTTATTGGTGCTGTTACTGATGCTGCTGTTGCTTCTGCTGGTACTGGTGCTCGTGGTGGTGCTGCTGCGGCCACAACCCCTAGGGGTCATAGGCGAGCCAAATCAGCAGTGGCCTTTGGGGTGGTTGACTGTATGGAAGCGGCTGAGGGGAGAGGAGGGGAGAACGGGCGGGAGAGAGGGGAGGGTAGTTGGGCGAAAAGGGAGAGGAAGAGGGAAGGTGAGAGGGAGCAGGTGAGGGAGAAGGAGGGGGAGAGGGAGATGGAGAGGGAGAGGGAGAAGGAGAGGGAGAAGGAGAAAGAGAAGAAAGAGCAGGAGAGGTGTGCTTGGAAACGGAGGGTTGTGGATGAGTGGGTGTCACGGTTGACTCCCTTGAAAGGCTTGGATGAGGGGGATGAGGGGAATGAGGGGAATGAGGGGGGTGGTCAGGACGGGGAGAGAGTAGCAGTGGTACTGATGGGGAATGTTGCAGACAAGGTTAAGAATCGAATTCCCAAAACTCCTGGTGAAGGCACCACAGGGAGAATGCAAAACAGCCCCCGAATGCCAAGGGAGGAGCAGGGCAGAAGTCCCCGAGTTAGGAGAGCGGAGGAGGACGGAGCTACTTTCGAGTCGACTCGATTGGGAATGCGAAGCAGCCGTAGAATGCCAAGGGAAGCTCAGGGCAGAAGTCCCCGAGGTAGGATAGGGGAGGAGGACGGAGGGAGGGAGCCTTTTGAGACGACTCAAAAGATGCGAAGCAGCCCTAGAATGCCCAAGGAAGAGCAGGGCACAAGTCCCGGAGTTAGGAGAAGGAAGGAGGACGGAGGGAGGGAGCGCAGGAGGAACAACCAACGAGGCGAAGCGAGCTTCGGGGAGAAAGAGGGTGGGGGAGGAGAAGAGGAAGAGGGAGGGTGTACGGAGAAAGCGAGAGGAGGGGGGCGAGAGGAGGCAGGCGAGCAGCAGAAGCAACGCGCAGAAGCAAAGGAGAAGGAGAAGAACGTACCGAAAGAAAGTGCCGTGGCACGGAGCAAGCAGCGGAGCAAGCAGCGAAGCAATGGGAAGGTATACACCATAATGCGGTGCACAGAGGAGCTCTTTGCCACCGGTGGTCCTAGCCAGGTGGTATTCTCCCCTGCCAACCGCCCTGCTGGGTCCGTTGTTGTGTCTAAGGCTTGCGGCGCTCTCACTCCCGGCCGTTCCCAAGGGAAGTCTGGCAGGACCTCATTCCGGGCAGCTGAGAAAAGTTTTCTGTCGGAATTTGAGACGACGGTGCTGGATCTGAAGCTGGATTTGAAGGCAGCAGGGGCTGCTGCTGCTGCTGGTGGTGCTGCTGCTGCTGGTGGTGCTGCTGCTGCTGCTCCTGCTCCTGCTGCTGGCGCTGGTGCTAATATCGCAACCTCGAGCAAAAGAAGCCAGGGAGGAGAAGGCCTAAGGCGGAGCCCCAAGGAGCGAAGAGGGTTTTCCGATGGCGACCTCAGCGTTGACCTGGGCGTTGACTTTAGCAGGCACCTGGTTGACCTTCAAGGGGACCTGGTCAGCACGCCTGGCAAGGAGACGCGAGAGAAAGGGAGGCGGGTGGGGAAGGAGCGGGCAGGGGAGGGGGCGAGGGAAGGGGAGAAGGAGGAGAGGGAGGGGAGGGAGAAGGAGAGGGGGAAAGAGTGGGAGAAGGAGAGGGAGAAGGAGTGGGAGAAGGAGAGGGAGTGGGAGAACGAGAGGGAGAGGGAGAAGAGCAAAGCTGGTAACGATTCGGCTTTGGGGGCACCTGATAACAGTCAGAGCAGCATCTTAGGCAGCAGCAGCAGCAGCGACCAGAGCAGCAGGAAGCAAAGCCAGATCATCAGCCCGATACGAATCGAAATGCCTGTCTCTCCCCATACGCCTCCTGCCTCCTCAGGCTTTAAAGCCAGCTTCTTATCAAGCATGCTGTCTCCGAGGGGAATCATAGGCTCCTGGCGGCTCCCTAAAGTGGGGCTTTTAGGCCAGGAGATTTGCTCGCTGCAGGAGCGGTACTTAGTTGAGCAGGAGATTGGGAGCGGGTCGTATGGGATGATCCGGGCTGTGAGGGAGAAAGAGACGGGCAAGACGTGGGCGTGCAAGAGCATTGGGAAGGATCAGATTCAGGTGCGTGTGTGTGTGTGTGTGTGTGTGGGGGGGGGGGGGGGGGGGGGTGTGGGTGTGTGTGTGTGTGGGTGTGTGTGTGTGTGTGGGTGTGTGTGTGTGTGTGTGGGTGTGTGTGTGTGTGTGGGTGGATGTTGGTGGGTGGGTGTAGGTGTGTGTGTGTGTGTGTGTGGGTGGATGTTGGTGGGTGGGTGTAGGTTTGTGTGTGTGTGTGGGTGGATGTGGGTGGGTGTGTGTGTGTGTGGGTGTGGGTGTGTGTGTGTGTGTGTGTGCGTGTGTGTGTGTGCAAGTGTGCGCGCGCATGTCCATACGCGTGTGCATGCGTGCACGTGCATGTGCGTGCATTCATGCGTGTGTGCCAGCATGCATGCATGCATGCGTAGGCGTCGATGATGGGCCCATGGTTGTGTTGCATGAATGCATGCATGCATAGGCGTCGGTGCGGGCGCAGGCGTGGGCCCATGGTCGTGTTGCATGCGTGCGTGCGTGCATGCATGCTGCATGCATGCACATGGAGCACCCATGGCTGTGTGGCATGCATGCATGCATGCGTGGGCGTGGATGCGGGAGCAGGCATGGGTAAATGGCCATGTTGCATGCGTGCGTGGGTGTATGCGTGCAGGGGTGCATGTGTGCATGCGTGCGTGTGCGCAGGGTGCATGTGTGGTACAGTTGTGGTCAACGAATTGAGAACCCCAACCACAAGGTTTGGAGTTCACCCAACCTCGCCTGTACACCCAACCTTGCCTGTACACCCGAATCTTGGTCTACATCTAGTGGTGTATCCTAGGAGATTAAATCCCCTCCCCTACTCCTCCAATCCCCCCTTCTCTCGTTTCCCCCATCCGCCCATTCAGAGAAATTGTGCAGTGGCAGCAATGAGGAGGGAAGTGACGGTGATGCAGCTGCTGTCGGGGCATCTCCCCCCCCTAACTCCCGCTCCATCTCTCCCCCCCACCCCCCGTTCACTCCCTCATGCACTCCCCTGTGCCGCCGTTCAGAGCAAGGGAGAAGTGGCGGCAATGAGGAGGGAAGTGATGGTGATGCGGCTACTCTCGGGGCATCGGCATGTGGTGCAGATGAAAGAGACTGTGGAAGATGACACGGTATGTGCCTCGCTGCGTGTGTGTCTGTCTGTGTGGCGATGGTGATGGCACAGTAGGCTGATGATGTGATGGCATGTGGTGCAGATGAAAGAGACTGTGGAAGATGACACGGTATGTGCCTCGCTGTGTGTGTGCGCAAGGGGCGGTGATGCGGCTGCTGTTGGGCATCCACATGTGGTGCAGATGAAAGAGACTGTGCAAGATGAAAGAGACTGTGCAAGATGAAAGAGACTGTGGAAGATGACACGGTACGGGATGTGTGCGCGGGTGTGCGCGTGTGCGCGTGTGCGCATGTGCGCATGTGTGAGTGTGTGTGTGTGTGTGTGTGTGTGTGTGTGTGTGTGTGGTGTGTGCGCATCTCAACCACCCCAATCCCCCTCCCACCTCTCCTTCTCCACCCCCCATCTCCCCCCCTCCCCCCCACCAGCACGTACACATAATCACGGAGCCCTGCCAATCTCACCCCCCCCCTACCCCCTTCCTTCCCGAACACCCCCCCCCCCCCGCCAGCACGTGCACATCAACACGGAGTTCTGTGAAGGGGGCGACCTCTCCTCTCTCAACTATCCCCTACCTTCGTGTCGAGCCCCTCCCCTAAATCTCTCCTCCCCTCCCCACCAGCACGTGCACATCATCACGGAGTTGTGTGAGGGGGGCGACGACCTCTCCCCTCTCAACTACCCCCTACCTCCCAGTCGAGCCCCTCCCCCCAATCTCCACCCCCCACCACCAGCACGTGCACATAGTAGTCATGGACCGCATCATGCAGCCAAGGCGCTCCTCCCCTCCCCTCCCCCCATTCTTCCTCCCACGCACCCCCCCACCAGCACGTGCATATAATCATGGAGCTCTGCAAGGGAGGGGACCTCTTTGACCGCATCAAGCAGCGCAGCCGCTATGAGGAGAAACCTGCAGCTGCCGTGCTGCAGCAGCTGGCGCTGGTGCTGCGGGCGTGCCACTCCCTGGGGGTCATGCACCGCGATGTGAAGCCCGAGAACCTGCTGCTCTGCTCCCCCACTGATGACGTTGCTGTTAAAGTTACCGACTTTGGGATTGCTGCGCCGATCAAATCAGGTGGGGCGATGGGGTGAGGTTGAAGGGCGTGCACGCCTCTCGGGTATGATTTGATGCATGGAGATGCATGGAGATGCATGGAGATGCATGGAGGTGCATGGAGATGCATGGAGATGCATGGAGATGCATGGATATGCATGGAGATGCATGGAGATGCATGGAGGTGCATGGAGGTGCATGGAGATGCATGGAGATGCATGGAGATGCATGGAGATGCATGGAGATGCATGGAGATGCATGGAGGTGCATGGAGGTGCATGGAGATGCATGGAGGTGCATGGAGATGCATGGAGATGCATGGAGATGCATGGAGATGCATGGAGATGCATGGAGATGCATGGAGGTGCATGGAGATGCATGGAGGTGCATGGAGATGCATGGAGGTGCATGGAGATGCATGGAGATGCATGGAGATGCATGGAGATGCATGGAGATGCATGGAGATGCATGGAGATGCATGGATATGCATGGAGATGCATGGAGATGCATGGAGGTGCATGGAGGTGCATGGAGATGCATGGAGATGCATGGAGATGCATGGAGATGCATGGAGATGCATGGAGATGCATGGAGATGCATGGAGATGCATGGAGATGCATGGAGATGCATGGAGATGCATGGAGATGCATGGAGATGCATGGAGGTGCATGGAGATGCATGGAGGTGCATGGAGATGCATGGAGATGCATGGAGATGCATGGAGATGCATGGAGATGCATGGAGATGCATGGAGGTGCATGGAGATGCATGGAGATGCATGGAGATGCATGGAGATGCATGGAGATGCATGGAGATGCATGGAGATGCATGGAGGTGCATGGAGATGCATGGAGGTGCATGGAGATGCATGGAGATGCATGGAGATGCATGGAGATGCATGGAGATGCATGGAGATGCATGGAAATGCATGGAGATGCATGGAGATGCATGGAGATGTGAAGCCCGAGAGGCATGTTGCTCTGGTTCCCCCTGTAATGGCGCTGCTATCACGGTCACAGATTTGGGGATTGCTGCGAAAATCATGCCAGGTGGGTCAGTGGGGCTGCTGCTGCTGGTGCTTGCTGGTACTGCTGGTGCTGTTGCTGCTGGTGCTGCTGGTGTTGCTGGTGCTGGTTGGTACAGGTGGTGCACGTGTGGCGTGGTGTCAGGATGAAGGTGACGCAGCTGACGTCCTGCCCCCCTCCCGTCGCCCCTGTCTGTCCTGCCCCTCTCCCTCCATCCGTCATTCTGTGGCCCCCTCCTGCCCTTTCCCCACTTCCCCCCTTCCAGGCGCCAGTCTAACAGAATTCATAGGGTCCCACATTTACATGGTACCAGAGCTCCTTGTCTCACATTTTCCACTCGCAACCTCTTTTCCTTCCCCTTCATCTTACCCCTTCCAGGCATCAAGCTAACGGAGTTCCTAGGGTCCCACACGTACGTGGCACCAGAAGTGATCAACAAAAGCTACAGTGCCGAGGCCGACGTCTGGTCGGCTGGAATCGTCTTATACGTCCTTCTGGCCGGCGTGCCGCCCTTCTGGGCCTCCACAGAATCGGGAGTGCTGGATGCAATCGTATCCAAGCCCCTCAACTTCTCCTTCCCTCCATGGCCGTCCATTTCAAAGGAGGCCAAGGACCTTATAATTGAGATGCTTAAGAAAGAACCGGCGGAACGAATCACACTGGATGCTGTGCTTGGTAAGTGCACCTCCCCCAAAGAATTGTTCTGCTAAGCCTTGCTGCTCCATAAGTGTTGCCTTCCCCTAAGCATTGCTCCGACCAACTCTTTCCTTTCTCTGCTCAACTTGTCCCCGTAATCCTTTTCTCGCCGCCCGTCGTGTCACTCCCTCAACGCTCCTTTTCAGTCAATCCAAACGTCTTATTCTAGCTTTCACATCTCCTATCCGTCCCGTCTCTTTGTCAATATGTCCAGCACGCACCCCCATTTCCTTTTCTTCCTTTTCCTCCCTAGTTCCAACCCCCACCCCTTTGCCCCTACGTTTCTTCCCCCCCTACACCCGTCCCCTCTACTTCTCCCTCCGTGTGCCCTTCCCTCTCATCCCTTAGAGCATCCATGGATCAGGGCGCACACTACACAACTGTAGGAAGCTGTCGTTACCAGGCCCTCAGATTCGTTTTTGGCCGGTCTGATTCGTCAGACTTGGTACACTGATTGTGTATGATCAGTCAGAGTTGGTTAAAAAAAAAAGGCTGAAATATCAGAGTCCATTGTAGAAAAAGTCTGAATATTCAGAGTCTGTACTAAAATGTTGTCTGATTGTAACTTTCGTTCTAGAGAACCGTCTCCCGTTTGTCTGTTGTTGGCTCTTGTTAAACTACACTTCTAGTAACCAAAAACAGCATACATATAAACTAAACATACTATGGTTGAACTAGGATATGTACGTACTACCTAGCTATGCTATCCTATCTAGGCTATTCATTGAGTCCATCATCGCTATCACATGCATCATCATCTCCTAGGTCGACTACGACCATCTCCTCTTCCACAGGCTCCTTGCCCTGCTTGTTCTGTTGCTTCCCTTTAGTGATAGAAGCGTTGCTGTGGGGCTTGCGCTTCCTGTAGCTCCTCCAGATCCCCTGAATCTCCTCCCAGTTCGGCTCATACTCCATGAGGCTCATGCACATGAGGTCTCCTAGCCTGGCGTCCTTCAACGAGCCCCGCTGCCAAGACTTAGTAATGTTTTGCCGGGAGAACCCTCTCTCGCACTCCACGGTGCTCAGCGGCAGATCTGCTACCGCCACCCACAACTGCACCAGGTTGGGGTAGTTGGCGCGCCAGTCTGGTGTCTTCAGCATAGCGGTGAGTCCTGCAGTGAAGCTGCACTCGTTCTTGTTGGAAGCTGCAGCAGCAGCAGGGAGAGCAGCAGAAGTCGTAGGAGCAACAACAGGAGTGGCAGCAGCAGAAGGAGAATCTTCCTGAGAAATGGGACGAGGATGTGAACATGCGAAGCTCCTTCTGCGCACGGCGCTTGTTGATTCCTGGCGGGGAAGGAAACGTAGAGACACAGGAAACCAGATTTAAGAGCACTGCACTGCGTTACATCACACACGAAGATCCAACGATGTGGCGGGTAAGAATAAATGCCCAGCAAGCACATTCATCGGGGATGGCAATCCGTGCTTACCTGGCAGAATTTCGTCACACGCGTCGGCCTTGAACAGTGTGACAAGGGACTCCAGCCACTGGAGGCATCTCCTATTCCTCTCTCCACGGTCCAGCGGCCACTCATCAAGGGTGAACAGCTTCGCCCCTGACATTCCCTCCAGATCGCCAAGCCGGGATTCCAGCTCGTGGACGATCTTCTCCGCGAACTGGGTGCATACGTCCACGCAGCCATCGTGATTCGCGGGACCCTCAAACTCCTCCAGGGCGTCCTCATGCAGCTTGAATTTGAAGCGTGTGGGGCGCCCGTCGGAGTCCACACCCTCGGCAGTCACCTCCCTGTTACATCCAGGCCCATGTCGCGCGAGGAAAGGAGACAACCTCTCGTTCACGCCAGCACCGAAGTCATCGCCGAAGTCGACATAGCGGCTCTCGATGTGGGAGGTTGTTGGCCTGATCTGCGCACTGACGCAGGCGTGATCCAGCTGATGACAACGCAAGAAATGCAAGGAGGGGTGTTAGTCGCGGTCATTGAACATTGCAGAGGCAACGGTACGTGTAACGAAGGGAACACTACATAACCCGGCTCACCTCCTTGTGCTGGAAAGCCCGGTTGAAGATGTTGAGCTGCTCCAGCACGTCAGCAATGAAGAACAGGAGGAAATGAAACCTGTAGCTTGTCACCAGCGCGTACAGGCTTTCATCCCACTCCTTCAGCATCGCGATGAGAGTAGGCAGCACGGCGATAAGCCTCAGCACGGCATCGCCCCTCGAGAGCCATCGAACTGCATGTATCCCTTGCAGTTCCAGGCTTGTCGACGTGAAAATCTCTTGCAGGCCCATGAACCGTTGGTGCCACGGCCCGGACCTGCCGAGATGCTCCGCCACGGTTCGAATTACCGTGTCAATGATGCCGAAGGCTGGCATTTTCTCAGCAGCATGCTTGGCAGCCAGTGCCTCCCTGTACATAGAAAAGGAACCATGTTAGAATCTAGCATGTCAAAAACAGTTAATGAATACACGAGTAGCCACACGATTGATATACCTGTGCGCGATGCAGTGCGACGACACCAAGTGGGGAATGCACAGTCGGAGGCGTGTCACCAGTCCCAACTTGCTGCCCATCATGACATTGGCACCATCGGTGCTGATGCCAGAGATCCACCTCAGGTCGACGCCGACTGCCTGCATGTGTGACAGAATTAAACTTAGAAGCGTGGCGGCGTCCGCCTTCTCCACTGTGATAAGCTGCATGAACTCCATGACCAGCTTGCAGTTGCGGATGAATGTGACGTAGAGGATTAGGTGCTTCCCACTGCACCGATCCGTGTTCTCGTCGAGGGAGATGCCAATGAAGGGTCTTGAAAGCACATGCTCCAGCTGGGTTGTCTGAAGCCACGTTGCAGTGGACTGCGTTAGCTCCCCGAAACCGTACCTGCACATCAAATAATACGGTCAGGTAACTTGGTTTAGCAAACATGATTTGCAGAGCATCGTTGATGTGCATCTGCTGCAGAACAAGTAACATTTGCACTCATGTTGTGTAGTATGTGACGTAGCCCTTCTTGGGGAAACCCTTCACGCCCTTCTCCGACAGGTACCGAACAAGCTTGATCCACATCCCCATAGGCGCATCACACTTGCTGACGAACAGCAACGAGTCGAGAAGGGAAACAACGCGCAGCTTCTCCTCGTCGACAGTGACTCGATGCTGGTCGATCAGAGGCTGTCTCGTCCCGCCTTCCACTAACGCGGTGAACTTAGACATCGCCAGCTTGTGCTTGTTAGTGGCGGCGTGCTTCCGGAAGGATTGTGTCTGCACGTCAGTTGCACCTTTCCCGCGCCTCCCGCACTTGCCTGCGTCGCCAGCATGGGCCTGACAAACACTGCACTTAAACGCAGGGAGTCCAGTAGAGGTTTTAGTTAGCACAAGCCACGGAAAACGGCCACGCCACTGTGTAGTGAACTTGTCATGTGCATCCTCATACACATCATGGATGAGCTGTGCTAAATTTATGTCAAGTCGTGGACGCGGCCGTTCGGATGGGCCAGCTTCGTTGTTGTCAACCGCAGTCGACGCAGACGCCTTCGCGAAGCTCAGTGTAGCCTGCTTAAGACAGACGTTGCGCACTTTGGTGGTGGCGGTGGGCTCACAGACGTGATGCGGGGCTGAACCAACGGTAGGTTCTTCCTCTGTCACTATCACAGTAGCAGTTGGAAATGAGACCGTTGGTGCTGGTTCAGGAGGCGTGGGGATTGTATCAGGACTGGCGTGAGCCGCCTTATCAAGTGCTAGCGAGCTAAGCAAAAAGTCTAACCCCGTTCTACCGTGAGGACCGTCATCATCCTCAGCGCCTGTGGCGGAATTGGCCTGGAAAGCCATCGCGCGGTCTGTGAAAGCCTGCTGAGCAGGAACTAGGGAGGTGTGACTAACAGTGTGTTTAGGCACGGTGTGGGATGAAACCCTAGCTCAAACACAAGGCCCTTTACCCCTACATGGGCCATCAGTGAAAGGGATGTGGTGGTTGCCTAGCATGCACGGCAACGTCGAGGCGCTACTACCGTGCACTGCTATCAGTTGTGTTTCGATGCTGCAAAGGGGGGGAACGTGGTACTCAGAAAGTCCTTGTTGGCTCGAAAAGCTGCCACAAGGACCAATCAACACACAAAGAAGGTGTGCGCTGGTGTTTACGTGGGGAAAACCGGGCCGCAGGGCGGCCTCGCTGCCAGAAATTGACTTTTGTCCCACATATAGCGTGACTGACGGGACAACAGTCAAATGCATCCCCTAATCCCGAGTGCCGACTCCAGCCCAGGTACATTGAATCAGAGTCGGTACGCGATTGTACTTTGATGGATCAGAGTACACCCCCGAAAAAAAACTGATTTATCAGACTCAGCCATTAAAAAAAAGCTGAAACATCATAGTTGAGTCTCTAAAAAAATCTGAACTTTCAGAGTCCACTAAAAAAAAAAAACAGAAATATCAGAGTTTTTCACCCTAATCAGATAACTGTCTCTGACTTCTGGGGGCCTGGTCGTTACTGTAGCATGATTCCCACAGTTCTGTACACCTTAGAGCGTGTTCCTACACCTCGTATCAAGAGAACCTCGTATCAGGCTCACATTGAAAATTCCCATAAACCCAAAACCTCTCGCTGGTTTTACCAGGCAAAAGGTACATTCTTGAGACGAGGTTTCCTGATATGAGGCTGTAGGAACACGCCCTTAGAGCGTGTAAATTATCAGGCCTCTTATCAGTCCAACTTCATGTCTCGCACAGTCGTACGAGAAGAATTCGTTATGAAACGCCAATAAAAAAACCAGTTCCGCACATTTCACAACACGAATGTGAACTACATGTACATTGTACTCTGCATGGCATGACTTAAACACGACACCCAAAAACGATACAAGAAAAATGGAAACAGCAATTGCTACAAAGTTAACTGCACTGCAAGTGCCTTTCGTATGGATACTGAGACCGTACCGCTAAATGGCTTTCCGATCGGGTCTGGTTACCGAATTACTTGCCACGCCTCACCAATGCTCTTTCAGTGAGCCTTCATGCTGTCTACTCTTGGAACCATCACACCGATGACTTTGGCAATACTTAGGGCACCTCATTTCCCCTACTTCCATTGCCCTTACAACTGATTTCCTTCATGCCTTGAGTTCGACAAACCACTTGGGCGAATGCTGTTAAGAGGCAACCCAGCAGCCGCATCATAAGCAACAGCAGCCGTACCTCTGCTACAAAAAGACAATGTACCAAGCCGAATGAGCCTGCAGCTGCAGCACCAGCATCAGGACCGATTGGGTCCACATAGGGTCAACGGGGTCAACAGGGTCAACAGCTGGTCAACAAGGTCAACAGATATGCAGATGGTAGCTCCCCAGGTCAACGCCATTCTGTGATCCCGTATCTTCTCCTTATGCCTCGCCCTTTCCTCTCCAATCCCTCGCCCCTCCTTCCCT